ATACTTGTGCATGCTGAAGTATTCAGGGTAAAGTATCATCTGAAATTTAGGAGCTGGGGGTTAGGGTTAGGGTTAGCTTAGTGGGTATTGCTCAGCTCAGTGGTTTTGCTGCCTGCTGCAGAAACGCAAGGACCCAATAACCAGAACTGCAAAAAAAAAAAAAAAAAAAGACTTTTAAAAATGTTGAAGCAGCTGGGTGTAGTGGCACATGCCTATAATCCCAGCATTCAGAAGGCCGAGGAAGGAGGATTGCCAGGAGTTTGAGGCCAGCCTGAGCTACATAGTGAGTTCAAAGCCAGCCTGAACTTCACAGTGAGACCCTGTCTCAAAAAGACCAAAAACCAACCAAACAAACAAAAAATGTTGAAGTAGGGCCAGGGATTTAGCTCAGTGGTTCTGCCGCCTGCCTCACAAGCACAAGGTCCTCATCCCTGGTACCACAAAAATAAATAAATAAATAAACAAACAAACAAACAAATAAATAATGTTGAAGTAAAACCAGGCATGGTGGTACATACCTATAATCCCAGGACTTGGGAGGCTGAGGCAGGAGGATCACCATGAGGTCAAGGCCAGCTTGGGCTACATAGAGAGACCCTCTCTCAAAAAAAAAAAACCAAAACAAAACAAAAAGGTACAACAATGACAAAGTATAAATATTAGAATATAAATGGTTGGGCAAAAAAGTATGGTAAGTACACATACATTTCAGGTACATATGTATGAGAGAGCAAGCAGATGTGGGCAATGTTAACAACTGGTGAATTTAGGTGAAGATACATTGTTGTGCTATTTTCTCAGCTTTTCCATAGGTTTGAACCTCCTGTTTTATTTGTTTTGTTTGTTTGTTTGGTGGGGCAACAAGCTGGGCAAGCACTCTACCACTGAGCTAGACCTTTACCCATCTGTAGGTTTGAAATTTCATGGTGATAAATTTGGAAAAAAGTGAAAATGATGTATTTTTTTCTAATTGTCAGGATGACTGCATGCCTGTGATTATGGCCATGCTTCCACTCTTTCTTTCTTGTCCCTCCTGTGTGCCATCCCCGAGACTCAGGCACAAAAGCCAATGTGTCCAATCAGCTTCGTGAGAAATGATCAGAAGCAGTCTACATTGCTCTAGATGGTATCTGTGAGGTTTCAGGTCACTCCAGCTCTTCCTCGACTTTAATCCTTTCTGTTCAGAAGGTGCAGACTTCAAAGATAAAACGCTCCAGTGTTACCAAAACATATTTAACAAATAAATACTTAGGTGGATGCTGAAAATTCCTCAACAATCAGAACATAAATCCACCACCGTGAAATGCTTCAAACTCTTGAAAGCCATCCCGCTGCATTTACAGGAAACCACCTGACAGCAGCTGCAGGACTGTCCTTGGCTCCAACTCCAACCACTCCCTTCCCTTTTTTTCTCCCCTTAGTACTCGGAATCTCCAAAGCATCCTAGACCCACCCTAGGGTGCTCCTGGCCTAGATGTTGGCCTGGCTGCTCCTTCTCATCCAGAAAGCCTCAGCTCTAATGTTATCTCTCAGAGTGGCTGCCTGTGACACCCTACCCAGGGTGCCTGCTGCCCCACTTGCCCTCCCAGCCTCTGTCCTTTTAGCCTGTTTGGTCTCTTTAACGTCATCACTACCTGAAGGTACCTTGTTTATTTTCATTTTAATCATCTTTGCTGGATGTCTTTATCCAACTAGAATATAAACGTCCATAAGTGACTTTGTCTATCTTGATCCCACTCTATCTCTAGGACTTAGAGTACATAGCAGGTGCAGGGACTTGGGGCACATGCCTATAATCCCAGCTACTTGGGATGCTGAGGCAGGAAGATTGAAAATCAAGTCTTTCCTGGGCAACTTAATGAGATAAAAGATAAAAAATAAAAAGGAATGCAGATGTAGCTCAGTGGTGGACCATTGCTAGGTTCAATACCCATGACTGGAGGGGGCGGGAAGCAGGTACTGAGCAGATAGAGAGATGCTGACCTGGATCAAATCCAGATTATGCCAAGCAGTTGCTTTACCACAGAGCTACACTGTCCACCCCCTGAGTTAATATTTGGGGTCTGAATGAATCCTTTTCAAAGCAAAGGATTTATCTCTGTGCTAGTGCACTTACTTAGTATGTCTGAGGCCCTGGGTTTGATCCTCAGCATTGCAAAAAATAAATAGCTACTAATTTTCATATGCAATTTCCATGTGTCCCACACTTAGACCATATCCTGTGTCAGCATTAGCATTTTAAGAGCTGCAGTGAATTTTATAGGCTCCGAAGATATCTCCCAAAGAATCTTGAAATTAAGCCAGAAAAGCTGCTGTTTGAAGCCTCTGTAATGAATTACAGGAGAACAGTACCTTATAACCATCAGAATGACAAGAGATATTTGTGATCTGCTTAAAGTGTATTAACTTCACATTCATCTAATTCAAGTGATTTTTCTAGGGTTCGGATTCCTTATGCTAAGTTACAAGATTACTTATTATTATTTTTTTAAGTGTGTGGATACAGGAGGTAAAGAACCCTACGAAGTTAAAATTAGTTATGAGAACACAGTATTTGGAGTTTTTGGTTAATGTTTACTTTTTCCTCTTTCCTTTTTTGAGTTTAAAAGGTTCAGGAAACCCAGGTCCCGAAACAGCCTGGAAGGCCAATTTTCTACTGCAGTGAGTGACAGACAATTAAGAAAAAAATCAATCTGAAACTCTTTCTTTCTCTATATCATCCAGGTAATTGTGACAATACTCTGTCCCACACTACACACCTCTACTGCTCCTCAGATCATCTCCACTGTGGTCCTATGAAGTTGTTTTTTATGGGACAAAAATAAAAAACGAGGAACATTGTTCACAACCCAACCACACATAGGTTCTTGAACCATCTCTTCTAAGAATGTCTCTACCCCCTACTCTCTAAAAATGTCCTTTTAATAAAAACAGTGAAAACACAACAGATCCTGCAGAAATCCAGAAGATCATTAAATAACTACTTCAAGAAACTGTACTCTAATAAGATGGAACTCACAGAAGAAATGGACAGATTCCTAGACACCTGTGAATTACCAAAGATGAATCAGGAG